ACTTCTTTTTAATAACATAGCCCACTTTAAAGTCTATTCATTAGACTAAACAGCACCCCTCAACACATTTTAACCCCTAAGTATCCACGAATTCCAGACAAAACTAAGAAACAATATCGTGATAATCACTATTGACCCCATTTATTTCAATAACATTCCACAAAAGTCACAACCAAAATCCAATCAAACCTCCATCTCGTCATGAAGGAAATAACAAAATTTTTTTACAAAAAAACATTGAAGACCATCAGTCATAAGGCCACTTCCCTAACATTTAAATTGTCAGAATAATTGTTCGCTAAAATAGCATCCCTATACATTTTGTTCAAATCTTCAAGAACAAAAATTCTCAGAAGCACTGACACACTAAAGATTATACGTTGTGAGATCCCTGGATCGAATAACGGCATCCCCATGTGGTTAAAATTTTGTTCTAGATGCTGCCAAAGCGAATGATACAAAACAAAATACCACAAAGAGCCACTATTTCTCCAAACTACGGACAAAATCACAAATCATATAAATGACAGATGCACCATCCGGTTCAAACTAATGCGGCACATACTCAGCATATTCACACAAATGTCCCGCCAGAAAAAGTGCTCCCACAACATAGAAACACACACTTACAGTCACTACCCTAGACAAATTTCCTCATACGAACTCACTTTGGACATACAATCAATAATTAACCTCATTGCTATGATCTTTTTCTACGTGAAAAAACTCCTACCAATATCTCTAACGAGATTTTTCCAGAAATCTTTTTCAGGTGAGTTTTTAAAAACTTTTAATATTATTATAGTTTATAGGTTAGTTTGTGTATTGAACTAAATATTGAAAAGAAAGTTAGTTAAATTATTGTAATATAATATAAATAATATATCATAAATAAATTGTTTTATTTTCTTCTTTTTCTTTTCAGATTGCTTCGTGTTTTGTACGAAAACCCTGGGTATTTAAAACTTGGTACGTGCGTTTCTATTGGTATAAACATATTGGAATCCTATCAAATTTGGCGTCAATTTCTTCTCAAAGTTTTTTTGTTAATTTTGGTTTAACGTGTTTTTTTTTTCTTCTTAATTTTCTAAGGCCTGTTAATTTTATTGAAAGCAATCTTCTGGAGTTCTAAAACTTGATACATAAGTTTTCCATGGTGTAAATAATGCTCTTTTGATTTTGGGATCGACTTCTCTTTTTTTCCTTTTTCTTCATTCTCTCACGTATTTTTAAATCTTTCTTAAAACTTACCATATAGGTTCTATTTGGTGTACGAAAGAACCCTATTGATTTTGGTATCGTCATGTCTGCTTCTTCTTCGTTCTCACTCGTATTTTTACACACATTTTTTTTATCAAACAATATCTTCTAACCTTAAAACTTTATAGATAGGTTCCATTTATTGTAGAATAAGGGTAATTATTGATTGTGGTGTCAACACTTGTAGAGCACTTGTAAAACCTGTACATCAACGGTTAAAATTATTTCACTAGAACATGAATAATGAAGACCTAATTGAAAAACAACTGCAAAAAATCTGCATAATCTTAGTAATAAATAATAATAAATAATCTTTTTAATAACTTTTATAAATCCTTTTTGGACAAGTTTTGCCATTAGGTCTTTTTTATATATTTTTTAAATAAATACTTAATCATTCACCCTTTTTATTAACTTGTCTCAGGTATTATTAGTTGGCTATACCGTACTGATGACGATCAATGAGTCAGAAATAGATATTTACATATATCTACAATAGATTTCTATTATTGTCCATCTTTCTATTGTATATTCTTTTTTTTACGGATTATTTGCTGTTAATATATTACCTATAATAAAGTTTAACTTATCTTCATTAAAATATAGATGTCTCCCTAAATACATGTTGGCGTACGGCTTTGGTAAATAGTACTTATTCTGGAATAAAAATCAGTCAGCAGTGCTCGATCCATAGCAACATTCAAGACATAACAAAAACGATAAAGAAGTCATTTTAAATATATCGAATGTAATGCTTGTAATATTAGAATGTCTCTCCTTCATAGTTACTTCTCAGATCTACTTTTACCTTATATATTTGATATATATATTTTCTAGTGTCATTCGTTGTATTTTAATTACGTTGTCACGTTGAATATAATAATTTAGAGAAGTTTTTGTATTCTATTATGTTTGATTATTGGAAATTATGTTACAGTACTTGTTGGTTTTGATGAAGTGGTTTAAGAGTTATTGCATATAGTTTTTGTTGCTTATTACTAGTACACATTTCTCTGATTTTGTATTACCTTATTTTAGGCATTATAAAACAAGATTTAATTAGTCTTTCTTCCTAGATTAAAACTCTGCCCCTATACTCACAGCTGGTAAATGGTATTCTAGAAAAAAGTTTTACCTGTATGAGGGCGAAGTGCTAGATGCTCTTTATGCTCAAAAATTTGTTGATTAACAACCGCACAAAAACAGGCTTAAAACGTTAGTTCTTCAAGCTACAGTACCAGCACCAATATATCAGCTCCTAATGCCGTCAAAGCAGTCTCGTAAAAAAATGAAGTTAACCACGAAGTATTTCTGTCCAAAAAGTCGAAGAAGACTATTAATTCCTGGTTTGAAAGAGAAAATTCCATGGAAGGTATGGTTACTGGGATGGTTTGTACATAAGTTCATTTGGAGCTCGACTTAAGACGGTTATTCACAAAAAGGTTATTCGCAAAAAGAGTATTCCAATTGCCAACTTCTCCGAATACCATAAGAGTAATAATTTACAGGTATGTAGATAAAGTCCAAGCAACTTTAATCAAAGAATTTACTAATTTAAAACAAAAACGATAAAGATTTTCGTTAAACTTTGGAGAGTGGACCTCCCAAAAAAATCACAGACAAATAAATCCCAATTTGCATTTGCACAATTTAAAACATTTGAATTTAGGTTTGATCAGAGTTCATGGCTCGTGCACTGCCCAATACTAAATTGAACTAGTGGCGAAACAGTTGAACATGTTTTGTTTAATGATTGAATTCGACACTATTGGTATCATAACCAAAGGCGCAGCCGCTATTCTGAAAGTTGGCAAGCTCATGCCTTGATATCAACAACTGTCCTATGCAGATGGAATTCAGTTGGCTGAAGTAGACGTGGTGTATAAAAAGAAACATAAAAGAGAAGTAGAGCAAGCAGCAGTAGACGACACTGATGAATATGAAGATGAAAATGAAGATATGGATACAGAGATAAATAGTAACAATAGAACCAATATCGGCGAGCTCTGCTGAATTGATTCCTCGTTACAGCAACCTGCTTATAAAAATACGAAAAGTTGTTAAAACGTTTAAAAAATCACCTACCAAAGATGACATGTTCTTGCAAAAATATGTCAAGGAAGGGAAAGGCAAGGAATTAAGTTTGATTTTTGACTGCCGCACTAGGTAGAACATTTTGCTCAGTATGCTGGAAGGTTTCTACAGCCTAAAATCGATAAAGCGTTGATAGACATTGATTTTGTGATAAACTTGTCTGATGACGAGTTCAATAAATAAGTCAATCACCACTCCTTAACCAGTAAAACTAGCTGTAGAAGCTCGTTGCAGTCTTAGACAAACTAAATAGCTAGGACTCTAGCCTTAGTGCCGAGCTATCGGAAGTACTGCGCAACAGAATCGCGTAACGGCGCCTTTCTGAAATTACAGGTAAATTAGTGTACTCACAAAATCCAAAAAAGTATAACGAAGGACTAAACAATTCTAGTTATTTCCTCATGCCAAAAAAGAATGCAATGCGACAAGGGATGAAAAATTTGTTGAGTCGTATAAATAAACAAGTGATTGTGGAACCAGTGCAAAAGGACATAATGGAAGCAGAAGATGGGCCAGCGAATCCAGAGCCCGTGAATTTTACTTTAGAACAAGAACTTGAAATTGAAGTGAAACGAGAGAGAGAAAACTTTGATAAGCAAAAAAAACTGGTTCTCGAAAATATTACGAAAAGACTTTTAAAACGAAATGACCGTTTATGAGACAGAATAAGTAAAAGGCGATCATTTGTCCATTTTTTATGACTTAGATGACCTTAAAACCGACCAGCATGAAGGCCGAAAGGGTTTTCTCCGCAACCGGCTATATGTGCAGTTCTATGCTAAGTAGGTTAGGCGATAAGACGATAGATAAAATAAACTTCTCTCTAACAAAAAACTAAATAATTCATGTTTCTGTTATTTAGAAATATAGAATACAGACTGATTTTTATCATGAAATCCAAAAATAAAAACTCGTTTTCAGTAAGCCATGGAGGAAAAATAGTAACTTGTGTCAGCTAAAAATTACCGTCATTTGCTTCAAACGAACGATTCTTACAACAGATAATTTCATTTGGATTAAATTTCATTCGTGACAATTCTCAGCCGACGCAAGCAAAGCCCTATGTGCCACTTTCATCACTTACTGAGGATGAGTTTTTTTTTGGAAACTTATGTTAATTGTACCATTTGACTTAGAAGTTAAAGAGATACATCAGATAATTTTTATTTTGAGTGTGTATTTTATTAGTTTGTACTAGAAAGTTTAATAATAAATGAACAAAAAACATCAAAATCGTGTTTTTATTTTGATTCCACCTTTTGCTGGACCCGCGCTGGATCCAGCTGGATTCAGGCCAATCTTTCAACAATCCAACTGGACTGAAAATGCTGCTGGATTGCAATCCCTAGTTCTACGAATGAAGAAGAAATGAAGCATTTAAAAAATCAGGTTCGCACTCTATAAAAAACCTTGTCGGCCACATAATATATGTTTAACAGGGTTTCCAATTTTAATTCAAGTTTTAAGATATTTCCTGATAAAAATACTGAACTGACCCTGTAACAAAATTGTGAAGTATCTTTAATACTAGGAATTCTTGTATTCGGTAAATAATTAAATAATCATTTAATTATAATTAAACTTAACCGCTAGATATTAATACTAAATTAATTAGGATTGATGTGAATTGTTAATTAATTACTTACCATCAGCTGTCTGAAGACCAATTAATTCGCTGTATTCTCCTTCTCCGGTACTATTAAACGCTTTGACTCTAGCGTTATACAGGCTACGGAAGTGCAATCCATCAACTGTACATATTGTCTCATTTCCGCAATAAACCTCCTGAAATGTTAAGCAAATATTGAAACTATTGCAATTCAAGATCTGCGCAAAAGCAATGATTACATGGGAGACATTTGTTGACGAAATAAAAAATAGATATACTCGACATTTTGTGATAAATTTTTGATACTTCATTTTATAAAAAATTATCAACATAATTATCAAATTTAAAATTAAAAGAGGTATATACTGTTATAATTAAATATAGCGAGAAAAAGAGGCACTGTTTTCTAATTTACAGCAATATTTCATAGCGATTGTTACACATTTGCATTAAAGTTCAGTTAATTATACTTGGAAGCCGTTTACGAAACAATTACAATGATTTAAGCAAATTTGAAAGGGGGAGAATTGTTAGCGAACGAGAGGAATGCTAACAGCGCGAGAGATTTTTCTTTTCTTTTGGCGTTGAGCTTCGAATCTTTGTCTCTTATAGCGTCATCAAAATAAAAAAATGTTTTATCAATTTTCATAATCAAGAGAGCAATAATAAAAAAATAAGGACCTAACTTACAACGACTCATATTTTTATCCGTGAATTTACTTTTTTAAAATGCCAAAACTTACTAGTTAGACGTTTATGGTCAAAATAAAGTTGAACAGATAGTTCTTTTCAAATTTTATAACTTTTTTTACGATAGAAGTAGGAATTAGATGCGAGTAAGACATTCATAAAAACCAATCTTTTATAGGTTTACTGCGTTTCCCTATATTTCCACAATATGAGATGAGATAAGAAACTTCTTATCTGATAAATAAAAGTATAAAACTTCCATCAAAAAGTTTTTCTAGATAATTAGTAACAAGAATAATTCTCGAACTTTTTGGTTAATTGATATCTCCACATATTATTAGGTTTTATGTTTATACAAAATTAAGAGGTATAACATTGGCGTTACATACACAATTTAAGGTAAGGTCACATTAATAAAAATAAATAAATATGGCTTTAACTTTTAAGCGATAGTGAAGTCCTTTAAGCCTTCGAATCAGGTCTAAAAATGCTACATACGGACTATCCTAATGTACGGAAGTAAGACCGTGTCACTTAAAGTAAGATCTCTGAATTGTGTAGGAACTTTACAAATGTCCCTTACAAAGACTGCTCAGAATTGCATGACTGGAACATATTACACATGAAGAGGTCCTAAGAAACGCTAATATCCAAAAAGAACTACCAGATCTCGTTAAACAGCGAAGGGTTACAATAATGCTCTATTTTATGAAATGACAAGTATAAGTTAAATATCATCTAAATGCTCAAAATTGAAGGTTGAAGGCTGGTAAAAAATTAAAAAATATCTTACAAAGTGGAAGTAGGAAAAAATATATATTAACTCACAAATAAAATTAGTTTGGTTAATAAATTATGCTGCTAAACATATTTAAAAATACTATTTTGAAAATTAGCCTATCTAATAAATGTTTCTCTTAAATTTTGTAACGTAATTTTGAAAAACTTTTTTAACACAAAAACAATTTAATTTATAAATAAGTTAGAATAGCGACCAATTACAAATAAGCCTCAATGTCATGAATGAAAATACAATTTTCATTTTTGACAATTATATTGCCACAAACTAACATTTTGTTTAAAAATTCTTTTTTATTTAGTAATAAAAAAGAAATTGATTCATTATTGATAAATGTCTGCAAAAATGTAACAAGTATATGAAAAATTAAATTAAAATGTGATATTTTATTGGTTTTATAAATAAACTATAGAGAAATAATAATACTATTATAAATTTTGCTTAGATTTTGAATTTATATTATATAATATAATATATATATATATATATATATATATATATATATATATATATATATATATATATATATATATATATATATATATATATATGGCCATTAAATGGCCAAATATATGGCCTGGAGGACAAATTCGCTAAACTTCCCGTGCTAGAATCGGTATCAATAAAGTGTTATTCATACCGCCCATTATTATTTCGGCCTATCCCAGCCTCATCAGACACTTGGACTGATACAAATTCAAACTCGGAAATGTCTCCCAACGAATGTCTCCCAAAGTTAGCTTACAAAACTAGTAATAAGTTTTGACAGAAGGAAAAAGAAAATCAAATTAATAATGTCAAATGTTAGGTAATTTTGCTAATTTTTAGCAAAAGATCAAGCCTGTTAAAGATACAACAACTCCATTGTTCTAATGTAGTTTTTTATTTTAATTTTTAGTATGTTTTGAAAAAGAGTTAAATTAACTCGAAAGCTCAACAAACCTTAAATAGTTTTATTTAAAGGCCAGTATTGACTACAATACCAAATATATTCATATTATATATATATATATATATATATATATATATATATATATATATATATATTCGTTTTGTCCATTTCTCACGCTACGTGCATGTCTCCCATACTCATCCGCTACAGATGTTTATATCATTTTTTGTCTACCTGGTATGATATGTTCTATTGAAGAATAAATAACAATTTCGAAAAATATTCTTCCTAGCAATACCTGACTTCCGCTCAAAATAAGGAATAGTGAAATTATGAAAAAGATCTATGTGAGTAGACTAAAACAAAGTTGGTAGATGATAGTACGAATCGTCCTTTTCATTTTTAGCCAAGGAAAATAAGCTTTTTGTTGTGACACTCGTCCCGCCAGGCAAACTACAGTTGTTTTGAGTAGTATGTGTGCAGTCGAATTTTTGGACTAAATTAGTTATTAACAAATTAATTAGTTATTAACAAATTAATTATTAACAAATTAATTATTAACAAATTAATTAATTATTAACAAATTAATTAGTTATTAACAAATTAAGGTCAAAAAATGTCAAATTTTCGCTTGTTTCTCTATTAGCAAAAAGTGAAGCATTTGAAACAAATTTATCACTGTCAACTTTTTAAAAAATAACCTTATAACCTTTATATTACATAGTAATATTAAGTTACATGTTAAACATGTTAAAAGTTATATAATTTGTTTATCCCAAATTAAATTTTTTTTGCAACAATATAAGTCAGAAAATTATGTTGTTATTGTAATTATACGGGTAGCTTCTAAAAGAAGATTTATTTGATTATTATATAAAAAAAATAATTTTAAATATGGCAAAATAATTTTGCAAAAACATGACGATTTTTTGCCTCTAAAAAATTAGAATAACTTTTTAACCATTGCCTGCAAGAAAATTATTGTTTTATATTTAGGAACCCTGTATTTTCTTACAAATATAAAAGAAAAAAGTAAACCTAGAACATTTTGTGATGAAGTCTGCTCCTATCAATTTTTAAAAAAATGCTATCAATGCTATCAATTTTTAAAAAAATTGATAGCATCTTTGTTTATAATAATTAAAAGATCTTATTAGACTCATCTGAAAAAACATGCTTTAAAATTTTAATGTACAAAATTCGAAAAAGATTTCGTTTTAGCAGAATCGTTCGCAAAACTTCAAAAATGTTATATTTAAAAAACGCCTGCTTTGAATTTTGCGGAAGCAGTGTAGTCGGAAGGAGCTGTTAACTGTATCTCTGGTTCTTGTTTATGGATTTGGACGTTTCTTGTTTTAATTGTTTTGTACTTTTTGCGTAAATTACAAATATGTATTATTTAAATAATTAAATTGTTACTATATATCTAACTCATCATATGCATATGATAAGGTGAATACCTTTGTGATAATTTAATTTTTGATATAATCTAATTCTAAGTTCATACTCATACTCATATTTAAAAAAAAAAAAACCACATTAAATTTATGTCCCTTCCCAATAGCAAATTGTATTATATCAAATGTATTGTATTAACAAAAAATATATATATTAAATCAACAAGGGAGTTTGGTCAGACTCTGTATATCCTATTTAAAAACCCAATAAAAACATGTAATGTATTTTCTTCTCCCCAATATTTTAGAATTAGATTATATCAAAAATTAAATTATCACAAAGGTATTCACCTTATCATATGCATATGATGAGTTAGATATATAGTAACAAATAATACATAGTAACAAAATAGATAGTAACAAAAAAAAAATTAAATTGTTAAATAAACTATCTAAAGTATTTAAACAATTTGTTTCCAGTTTTTCATTTTTTTTTAGTAATATCCTAAGTAATTTTTATTCTTAAACATGAACATTTATGGTACATACATACTCAATAAACTTCTTCAATAAACTCAAAGTAAGCGTTTTACATAAAAATATTTATTGTTTTGAAAGAACCCAAATTATTCAAAAGAGTAGTTTTGAAGTGTAAAAAGCAATTTTTTATAATTTATTTAAAAATTGTTATACATAAAAAGATTGCCATGAAAACTTTTCGGTATATTTATATATATATATATATATATATATATATATATATATATATATATATATATATATATATATAAGCTAATTAATTTTATTTAAAAAATCTATTATAAATAAATTATTTTCGAAGTTTATTAAAGAGGTATATATTAATCATAAATATTTATGATTTACAATAAAAATTACCTCGAATATTAATAAAAAAACTGATAAAGAATTATTTAAACAAAAGAGACAGTTTATTTAACAGTTTAAGTTAAATAATACATATTCATGATGTACGCAAAAAGTACATACAAATTAAAAAAAGGAAACGTCCAAATTCATTAACAAGAACCAGATATAGAGTTAACAGCTTCTTCCCCCTCCAGACTCTCGTGAGTTTCAAAGCCGGCCGATTTTAAGGAGCAAATGTTTGAAGCTTTGTGCACGATTCCATTAAAATGTAATCTTTTTAGAATTTTTCACATAACAAAACTTTAAAGCATGTTCTTTCAGAGGGCCCTAATAAGATCTCTTAGTTGTTATAAACAAAGTAATTTAAAAAAGAGACTAACTGCATCCCAAATTGTCCTAGGTCAACTTTTTTTCTTTTAAATTTGGAAAAAATGCAGGCTTTTTAAATATATAAAAATTATTTATTGCAGGCAATGGTTAAAAAGTTATTTTAATTGTTTATAAGCAAAAAATCAATATGTTTTTGCAATATTTAATATCCTTTTTCTTTATTTTTTTTAATATTGCTGACATACTAACCTTTCTTTCACAAACTACCCTTAGAATTACTTGTAACTTTGTCATTTTTGACTTAAAAAAAAATCGGTTTAAAATAACGGTTTTTTAAATTCATTTCATTTCATAACATTTCCTGTATTTTAAGTATATAACTATTATCAAAATTTAATCGACAAAACGATTAACATTAATATAATTAAGGAAACAACTATAATTAATAATCCTATAAGTTATCAACACGAAAATATTAAAGTTTTAACGACCTAGAGGCACATGCCAAAATATTTACGCATCTTTTCCGGTGTTCCCAGAATAGTAGAACGTAATATTATTAGTGGGTATTAATTAAAACATGTGACAACAAAAATTGGCACTATCGTTATTTGAAGCCTCAGAAGAATCCTTGAAGGATATTTTTAGAAAAATATTTTTAATTTGTACTCTTATTTGTTTTGTAGTAACAGCACTAGAGCTAAGAATAAGAAGTACAAGGATATATTTATAGAAAATTAGTTGAAGATGATCATTTTTTAAATCGTAGTTGTTTCGTAAATTATTTAATTTTGTTATCAATTTTAACTTGGATGATAAACTCGGATTGTCGTATTTGTTCCGCATATTTCGTCCGAATTTTTATTAGCATTATATATATGATAATATAATAGATTTAAAAATATATATTTCCATATAATATATTGAAAATACATAAAACATTTCAACATAAATACAACAAACCTACAAACCATCTTCTTCATGTACCATGTCCTTTCAGAACCATTGGTTACCATCATAGCTATCTTAATCATAGCTATCTTAATTAGCAGTTAAATCTACGAAGATAACTGATGTTTTTTCTTGTTTTTGGAATCCAGCTTATATTATGTGCTTAAGCTTAGCTTAATATCGCTGTTTGCCTGTAACTCTCTGGTTCTCACATGTTTGTTTCAATATGGCGATTATCTTTGTTTTAAAAGCTTTTTATAAGATTTAAGATTTCTGTTAATAAAATGTTTAAACAGAATTTGGTGTGGCCCTTTTACGTTGTTCTTTAGCACCGTAGAAGGAACTCAGTGTATTTTATCAAATTGTTACTTTGCATATTTTGATGTGGTTCATAGCAGTTAAGAATTCTTTGTTGGTAAAAGCGCCAGGGAATTCTGTATTGAGTGGCGTTTCTTAACGTACGCTGTATAATTCTTTTTTAATGTATCGTGTATTCTGTTGATCTCGTGAAGCTCTAAAAAGAGAAATTATTCTGCAGGCTATCTGGTCCAATGCGACTAGTCGATCAGCGTAAAGGTAGACTGTTTCCGCCAAGTTTTTTTAATATTCTCTATCCATGGCGGCTTAACTTTTTGAAATTGTCTGTACGTATTGCCTAGTTTTTTCAGAAGCTCCTCCATGACATCAGGATTATCTACATAAGCGTTATATCATTTGTCATATTTAATGTTAATAAATGACGTTGACGTTACTATAACAATATGTCAACATGAACATCGCATTTTTTGAATTGATTTTTTTTAAATGTTAAAGACAATTGAGTTTAGTGAAAAATTAAATTTTATTAAAAAACAATATCCACTTAAATCAAAGTAAAGCAGGATTTAATACTCAAATACTCAAAACTCGGTGCATATAAAATTTTAACTGAAGAATAATTGAAAATTAAAAAAAAACACGGAGCTATTTTTACTTCTTTGCATCGTTTCGTTATGTGGTTCTAAAGTTATTTTCATGGGACATATTAAGTTTTAATTATTATATTTTATTGAAAGTAACCATCTCATAAATATTTATTTGTAATATGCATATTATATGAATATAAATATTAATATATAATATATACTAACTCACCCTAAAATCACCACCGTTACCGTCATCCAATTCCAAAACATACCCTTCTACGTGACTCAGGCTAGGAGGTTGCCAAGCTACTGTAACAGAATTATTTTCAGCATTACATTCTTCTGGGATAATGATAGGAGCCACTGGAGCTGAAAACATGCATTTAACAATAATTCCTTGCAAATACCGAATGTCTCACATTTATACAATCATAAAAAATCTCTATTTCGGAACATATGGAAATTATCTACAGGTTTTATATTACTAATAAAATACAGTTTAGATGTAATCTAAAGCAACGTAGTCAAACTTTATCAGCAAACATTTACTCAAAGGAAATAGCAAAATTTAAAAGGGTCAGGACATCTCAATGGATATTTTTTTCAATAGACGACGTTTTTCGTTAATATAAACATATACGTTTTTTTTAACTTAAGTCGTTGGTCTAATGACAGCAAAAGAAATCAAACTCGTTAATTGTTTACAACTCTTTAGTCCAGTCGTCAGAGGGTTGAACCCTAAAAATCATACGAACAAGCTGAATTTTGCCGAGAATATTAATTTTAGGACCCCAAAAAAGAGGCAAAAAAGTTTACTACTTTTACCCCCAGGCTTCTTCCTAAAATTCCAATAGTGGGGGTAAAAATGCAAAAAAATCGATTTGTCAAGAATCTGTACGCCGTATAAAATAATATTTTAAATAAAAAATGCAGCTGAGATAATTTTGAACAAAAATGTTTATTAACACTTTTTGTGAATGAATCGTTCGATCAGAAACAACGCTTGAAGCGACCGTCGATTTTAAATGTCAGTTACGCGCGCAAAATCGCGCGTATGTGGTTTTTGTATGTTGCCACAAATAAACTCAGTTTTTATAAGGGTGTTAAATTAATAAAGATGGTGTGATATTTGCTATTTTTTACGATTCTCGTGAGATCAATTGAATTGATTACTTTCATTGACTAGCCGTAGTCAAATTTCCATGTTTAGAGATCGATCTTTAAAACCTATAACATGTAATTTCAATTTTGATTTTAATTTTGTTTTAATAACAAATATGAGGCATTTGAAATATGGATAAAAAACGCAGAATTTAATGTCTTACATTACAAACGATCGCACGTCAAGGAAAATGCCTTCAAGAACACGATTTTGGGTGTAGTTTATAGAAAAAGTTTTCTTCTTTTGAAAAACGTACTAGTGTAATTGAAAAAAAAAAAGTTTGAAAAGTTTTAGATCGTTTGGTATGTGAAAGTTTAAATTCAGCGTTTTAAGCATATTTCAAATGCCTTACATTTGTATCCAAAACTCAAAACTAAAATTTCATGCTATTGGTTTTGAAGATTAGGCTCTAGTAATCGAAACTTTATAGTGACCAGTCAATGAAAGGGATAGATTGTATTGATCTCAAGAGAATCATAGAAAATGGAAAAATCGCGCCTCGTTTATTTATTTAACACCTTTATAAAATCTGAGTTTAGTTGTGACAAAATACAAAAATTGCGTACAAAATCTGAATTTTTTACCTTTAAAACACATGTTGATTTTTGTCAATAGGACACGTGAATCAAAAGATATCGAATTTTTACCGTGGAACTGATACAAATTTTATTGAGCGTAAATTCTCGCGCGTAACTGACATTCGAAATCGACGGTCGCTTCAAGCGTTGTTTGAGAGAGAATGGTTTATTCTACACAAAAAGTGCTAATAAACATTTTTGTTTCAAATTAGCTCAGCTACATTTTTTATTTAAAACATTTTTCGAAAATCGATTTTTTTGCGTTTTTACCCCTGTACGAAAGGGTTTTTAGGAGAAAGCTTAGGGGTGAAAGTGGTTACCGTTTTTTGTATCTTTTTTGACGAATGAAGTATTTGTTAAAATGAACTTACGCTTTTGTGATTGCTCTTAAAGAGGGGTGTTGTAGTGCTACAGTTATTATTTCAGCTTGTTGCATCAGTTAGTTTAAAAATTATTCAAATTTTTTATCCTAGATATCATTTTTTCCCAAAGGTCACAGAACGACTTTTTTTTAATAAACACCAAAAAGTTAAAAAAATCATTTTTATAACCAAAAATTGTTTTATACAGTTATTGTTATTTTTATCCTTAAAACAATTATAATAACTTTTACGTTGTTTCGCTTAGACAAAATATTTTTACATATTTGAAAGATAATTTTTGCACGCATTTGAAAGAAATAGTTAATCTGTGGCTATTAAATAAAAAGTAGATTAAAAATAAAAACGAGGCTCTGGTGACCGAGTATGAAGACCAAAACTTACGATGAGATATAGTAAATGTTACTCCTCAAGATATCTCAGAATTCTGCTTATAAACTCAAATATGTCAAAAAAGAAAAAAAGAATGGCGATCAGTCCCGGGCAGGTGTTAGAAATTATTTAGCAGCTGGAAAGCTTGCTAATGCTGCAAAAGAGATGAAAATACCCAATGATCTCAATGATGGGAGTGAGTGAGACGTGGTGACTAAATATTGGTTTACGTTATCACGTCAAATTTTTACTATTTCGCTAAAACTGACGAGAATCCATAACATAAAATGCGGTAGGCATTCTTATTAAGGATCAAATAACTAAATATTATGTTAGGAATGTGACTGTCTACTCCGATAGAATAATAATTCTTATTCAATTAGCAGAAGTTCCATATATACAAACATAATGCCAAGTGTATGCCCCCACTGCGGACAAACCGGATCAAAAGTTCTTGACTTCTATGAATAACTGACACAAATGCTGATATCAGCCAAAACTCACAAAATTAATATTATTGTAGGTGACATCGACATCAACGCAACAGTTGGTAGTGAAAAGTTAACCGGTGTTTACAGACCGGGCCAGCGAAATGACAGAGGAGAAATATTGACAGTATAAACACAATTATTACAGATCCAGTATGTAGACTGTCGATTAATCAGTGCGAACTTTCGGCAATTTGCAGGTTATATTGATCAATTTAAAATATAAGGAAAAATTTTACAAGGCAACCAACCTAGTTTTATTTAAATATAACTCAGTCTCAAAAGTTCAGAACTATATAAGCTTGGCAGCAACAACGTGGAGAATTATGTGAAAGTAGTATCATTTGTTAAGAAAATAATATCAAATGTTTCCTTTTTTAGCAGCTAAAAATGTACACTAACGACTTACCAATCACTTTGATACGAGGTTAAATGATACCAAAACCAAACCCAAAGAAACATTCTGCGCCTACCATCTAAACAACCATCAAGCCAAAAAAGCTAAACATTACACGAAGGCAAAGATTCCCTCAAGAAATAACATAATACGTTAGCTAACTGAAACAACTTGGGAAGCTCAACCAAGAATGCTAAGAGCATCAGCTATAGCTTGGTGTTTCTCTACAGAAGAATATTTAACTCCAGTTTGGAATCGCTCCGCTCACACTCAGTATGTTGACTATAAACCAGACAGTCGAATGTTATCCGGGTACTTGAAACCTACTCCAGTTCGTCACTTATACTCGTGGATCCGAATTACTGCTCCAACATCAGAATAAAAGGGATTTAGTCAAGAAGAAGCAAGAGAGTGGCCGACTCTACCCCACTTTTGGCTAACGAAGGCACAAATTAGCAAGAAGCATCGGTTGCTGTCACTTTGATATCAAAAGAACAGATAGCTACAGGTCATTAATTGCTCTTCACCACATGAAGATCTATAAATGGAACTTAGAACCAGCACATCATGGTATAACGTAGGTCATACTTAAAAAAATGGGACTATACAGAAGATGACAAGGGGTGAAGTGCAAAATCTCGACTGTCATTCCAATGAATTTCATATATTGCCGTGACAGTTAATGTTGATTTGAATTAAAACGGAAACAGCGGACGAATGATGACATTTAGGGTTGTGGATGACATAAGAATTTATGTAAATTGTAAAATTCATGTTCGGCTTATCTTGAAGAGTCTGGCGATCAGTCCCGGGCAGGTGTTAGAAATTATTTAGCAGCTGGAAAGCTTGCTAATGCTGCAAAAGAGATGAAAATACCCAATGATCTCAATGATGGGAGTGAGTGAGACGTGGTGACTAAATATTGGTTTACGTTATCACGTCAAATTTTTACTATTTCGCTAAAACTGACGAGAATCCATAACATAAAATGCGGTAGGCATTCTTATTAAGGATCAAATAACTAAATATTATGTTAGGAATGTGACTGTCTACTCCGATAGAATAATAATTCTTATTCAATTAGCAGAAGTTCCATATATACAAACATAATGCCAAGTGTATGCCCCCACTGCGGACAAACCGGATCAAAAGTTCTTGACTTCTATGAATAACTGACACAAATGCTGATATCAGCCAAAACTCACAAAATTAATATTATTGTAGGTGACATCGACATCAACGCAACAGTTGGTAGTGAAAAGTTAACCGGTGTTTACAGACCGGGCCAGCGAAATGACAGAGGAGAAATATTGACAGTATAAACACAATTATTACAGATCCAGTATGTAGACTGTCGATTAATCAGTGCGAACTTTCGGCAATTTGCAGGTTATATTGATCAATTTAAAATATAAGGAAAAATTTTACAAGGCAACCAACCTAGTTTTATTTAAATATAACTCAGTCTCAAAAGTTCAGAACTATATAAGCTTGGCAGCAACAACGTGGAGAATTATGTGAAAGTAGTATCATTTGTTAAGAAAATAATATCAAATGTTTCCTTTTTTAGCAGCTAAAAATGTACACTAACGACTTACCAATCACTTTGATACGAGGTTAAATGATACCAAAACCAAACCCAAAGAAACATTCTGCGCCTACCATCTAAACAACCATCAAGCCAAAAAAGCTAAACATTACACGAAGGCAAAGATTCCCTCAAGAAATAACATAATACGTTAGCTAACTGAAACAACTTGGGAAGCTCAACCAAGAATGCTAAGAGCATCAGCTATAGCTTGGTGTTTCTCTACAGAAGAATATTTAACTCCAGTTTGGAATCGCTCCGCTCACACTCAGTATGTTGACTATAAACCAGACAGTCGAATGTTATCCGGGTACTTGAAACCTACTCCAGTTCGTCACTTATACTCGTGGATCCGAATTACTGCTCCAACATCAGAATAAAAGGGATTTAGTCAAGAAGAAGCA